TTTCCAACTAGAAAGAGATTAACCACCCCAAAAATAGAGTCAACTAACTCATCTGAGACAGCCACATCACCACTCAAGCAATCCATAAGATGTTGAGCACGTAAACCATCCCTACTACATGATGTGCCACGCGGAAAACTCTTAATGCGATCCAAAACAACAACAGAAGTAGCAATGAGATGAAGGTGATCAATAGGTATATCAGATAAGGATGAAGCAAGAGAAGAAGGGTGTTTAGACTGTAAATCCACAAGAGTGACCTCATTATAAGGAGCAACGCCTGAAGAAGAAAGAACTCGAACTGCAGCGGTGTAATGCCCATCACATATCTTCCTACGACACTGCTTGATGTTACGCTCTTCCAAATTAAGGTCCTCATCATCAACCACCGACAAAGTAGGAGAATCCTCTGCCAAAGTTTCCCTCACAAGCTGCAAACTACCACCTGGTGCACTCCAAGAACAAATAGCACGGGAAATACTCTCTTCTTGATGCCGACGCTTTACCGAAGACCTAGAATCCTGACTACTCCGCGGGCGAAAGGTTTTAAGGGTGCAAAGAGGTAACGCTAACAAAGAGACCCAACTAGAAATGTCCTCAGGCTTAGAGATCACCTTATCAATAGCACCTTCTGGAACCCGAGAAAAACCCAAACGACACTTGGGAGGGATAGACTTCACAGTACAAAACCCCTTAGAGAACAAACAATCGAGAAGAGCCACGTCAAAATCACAATGTTCATCTTGCACCAAACCACCCATGCGTCCAAGCCGAGCTGGAGAAGAGGGAGCTTGCAGCTTGGAGAAACCATGTAGCACAAAACGAACAATACCATCTCCTTCATCAAGGGGTGACATAACCTCACTCGTACTATGATAGCACTTAGTACGAAGCGTATGCGTTTTGTAGCAAACCCCACATAACCCAATCCCCATACGCGGAAAAAGTAACTTCTGCTACAGAATAAATAGCCAAATTCGAAGTAAGAGAATGTCGTGTGATATCCCCCGCTCTAACATAACAATGACGATCAGTAAGATGCTTGATTAGAGAACTTTTAGTAAGGCCATTTCCACTCCCATCTTGACAACCACTAAGACCTACAAAGGGACAATGGAATGAACTTCACAACGGAAGCCGACATAGCCACACCTAGCCACCACCAAAAACTACAGGAGAAATCACCTTAAGGAACTAATAAAAACCTATATGAAACAAACCAAAACTGCAAACAAAAAAACGCTGCAAAAAGCACCAATAAGTGACACCTAAAATATGATTACCGTACCAGAAAACTACAGCAATTAACGCACCAGAAAATAGCCTCAAATATTGCCTGAAAACTGCACCCAAAGCACACCAGAAACTACAGCAAGAGACGCACCAAAAGACCATATAACAACGTCTGAAATAACGACACAAAACAGAGCACCTCGCCGAACCAATTAGCACCGGTATTTGGACGGATTATGGCCGTGATACCTGCCTAAAACACGCACCCTAAGCGCCAGTAACCCACCCTTAAAACGCCTGAAAATAGCGAGCAGAAAACCGCCTAAAACACGCCCATAAACAGCCCGAAACACGACCAGAAAACGATAGAAAACAACCCAAAAATTAGACCTGAAACAAAGCCAAACTGCCAAGAAAATCTGACGCCGGAAAAACGCGTGAAAACCGCCGCAAAAACGCCTGGAAAACGCCCTTCAAGACTGCACTAGTGAAGCCTGATTCCACCAGAATTTCACCCAAAAAAAACACCTAAAACGCCTTCAAATCACCGACCTAAATGCACGACCAACGAGAACTGAATACCGCCGGGAAAGCTGCCGCAATGGACGTGGAACCCTACCCAACCCAGAAAATATTATTATTGTTGTTGTTGTTGTTGTTTTATTGTTATTGTTATTGTTATTATTATATATTAATTATTATTATCATTAAATATTAGTTATTAGTATCAATTAATATTATATATTAATTATTATTATTAAATGTTAATTAATATTATTATTATCTATAAATATTAGTTATTATTATTATTAAATATTAATTATTATTTTTAAGCAGAGTTAAACAACTCAAAAGAATAGGGCCTTATAGTAAAATAATTGATGCTTTAATAGTTCAAAATAGTTATTAGCCCGGGCAATGCCCCGAATCACTATAAATTTGTAAATTTGATCAAAATTAAATTTAAAGGTTAATGCTCAACAATATTTATAAGTGAATAAAAAATATAAATTTAAGATTAATGGGTGCTAATTATTACTCATTTTTTTAGATAATAAAATAATAAATTATGTAAATATTACTTCGTGAATTACTTGATTGGTATTGAATCTAGAAAATTAGCATTCAAAGAATCAACAACCATTAGCGTATGATTAATGTCTTACAAATTAATTATTTCGCAATTACTTATGAGTTACATTATACGGGAAAATTAAATATGAAGTTATATATATGAAGAGTTTTAGGGCGATAAGTAGGGATATTAGTGGGGCGGATCTAGTAGTAGACCCGCCCCATCCCCGATGGGTCTAGGTTTGGCGGGTGACGGGGCGGGAATGGGGATAAAAACCATAGCCGCCATGGGGATGGGGCGAGGATGGATTGTAAGCTATACCCGCCCATACCCATCCCGTTCTCCACCCGCCAAACCCGACCTGCCCCATACCCGCCATATATCCTATATAAAAATAATGAATACATTAATGAAACATTGAAAAGTGTATAGTATTGTTGTTTTGTAATGGAGCACTTTTTTTTTTATTTAGAGGCTAAAGAGTGGAGCCCACAAGGCCCACAACTCATTTTCAATACGGAGTAGTACATAGTAAAAACTATACTACTCTTTTACATTTTAACTCATTTTCATTCATACCTACAAAAAACTTAATTTCCTTTTTCTCTTTCCTAAGACACATTTCCAGCCGACATAAGCAAGTTTCTACTCCATAAGTCCGTATCAAGCAGCCGCTCTCAAGTCTCTTCATTGAGAACAATGTTCTAGGTTCTAACACTGAAGCAGCTCTTTGATCAAGTTAAACCAGAGCAAGTGGAGTAATTCATGGCCTCTTAGGTTCCTTATGTATTTTAATATTCGGTTTTTTTATCAAATACCACTGAGTTTTAACACAATTCACCAAATACCACCAACATTTTTCAAATTCACCATATAACATTCAGTTTTATAAAAATGTCACAAAATGCCATAATTGACTAACAGACGTTAACACCGTTAGTCAGGCTAATAATGCCACGTGGCAACGTATAATTGGTTCCCTTCCTAATTATTTAATTTTAAAATAATTATTTAATTATTCATCAAAAAATTAAAAAAAAGAAAAAAAAAATAGCCACCACCAACATCCCCCAGCCAGCCACCACCCTAACCCGACATCCCCCGCCGGCACGGAATCCGACCAAAACCCCTCGCAAGCGCTCCTCCCCTTCCCCTGAACCGTCGTGCCTACATCTCCCACGAAAACCCTCCCCTAATGACCGGCCGGCACCCGAACCCCCTCCCCCACGTCGGTGAATGAATTTGCCCTGTCCCGGTGCCATATCCACCCCACTAAACCACCACGTACGCCGAAAGCCTAAAACCCAAATCTAGGGTTTCGAATTTGGTGTTTTAGGGCTTCGTGGTGGTGGTTTTCAACAAGTCAGGCGGCGGTTTTGTGGTGGTTTCGTTATGGTGGTTTCGCAGCGGTTTCATGGTGGTACTTTAAGCAAGTTAGGCGGCGATTTTGTGGCGGTTTCGTGGTTGTTTCGTGGTGGTTTCGTGGTTATGGTTTTCGGATAAGGTGCTGGCCGGAGTCGGGGTTGTCACTGGCAGGGGAGGAGGGCAGTCGCCGGTCAGCTGGGAAGTGGCTGGTGTCGGGATTGTCGCCGGCAGGGGTGGCGGTGGCTTGTATTGGTGGTGTTTAATTTTTATTTTATTTTTTAAAATAATTTTTCTAAAGTTAATTAATTAAATAAATATTATTAATTAGAACCAATTACAAGCTGCCACGTGGCACAATTAACATTAATGACTAACCGAGTTAATGAAAATGGCATGTTGTGACATTTTTATAAAAGTGAATGTTATATGGTGAATTTGAAAAATGTTGGTGGTATTTTGTGAATTATGTTAAAACTCAGTGGTATTTGGTGAAAAAACCATTTAATATTTGTTGTAGTTTTATAATAATTGGACTTTGGAGTTAAATTTTAGTATTCCTACTTCATAATTTTATTTATTGGTACAATTAATACCTTTTTATTAGGCTATGTTATTGATTTACAGTAGAATTGTGGTGGGTTTAGGGCGGGGGACTAGGTGGGTGATGGGGCGGGGATAATATTAGCGTTGGACCCGTCAGGGTGGGGATGGGGATAAGTTTCAGACCTGCGGCGGGGATGGGGATGGGATCGCCAAAACCCGCCCCGCCCCATCCTGTTAACATCCCTAGTGATAAGTGATTAAGTGATAACACATAAGGTGACACATATCGCTTATGTGCCGCCAAAAATGAACAGTGACACATGGCGGGAGCATGTTTTTCCATTGGGTTTTAATAATATTATAGATTAGTATTTGTCCCAGTCATCCAGGTAATGCCTCTGATCATTACGCACTAGGCGAAAATACAAATGGGCATCGGTTCAAAACCCTTATTTAGCACCGGTTTTGAACCGGTCCTGATTTGAGGGATACCAAAAACCAAAAGATTTTGCACTGGTTCAAAACCGGTGCGAAAACTTAGATTTCGCACCGGTTCTTGCTGTGAACCGATGCGAAAAATGGCCCAAAAATTAAAATAAAAACTTTTAGCACCGGTTCTGTTTCAAAACCAGTGCCAAAAATGCCCCAAAATTTTATTTTGTTTTTTTTTGTTTTTTTTTTTTGCATTTTTTTCACTTAAATTGATATATAAACACTAACATATATATAAAGTTACATATTTTCTGGTTGCTGTATAGTTTGTGCATCTCACAAAACCAATAAATAGTACTACACTCAGAAAAATGCCATAGCTACATTAATTATTGGTTGTGCAATGAACTGGATACATACAACACTAAAAAGACGTATACAATCGTACATAAGCATACTATGTTGGTTTTTTTTTTTTTGGAAAGAAAACAAAGCCAAAAGTTTCAACATCAAGAATCTGCCAAACAAAATATACAAATCAAATATGCAGGAGCAGAGCAACGGGAACATCAGCTAGAAGAATACACCTCTAGACAACTCAGCAGCAACCTTGCGACACCAAAAAGCACACCGGAGCGACCTTTAAGTAACTAGGAAAGCAAGCAAACAGCAACAACACATCCAGCATAACAGCAACAGCACCAGAAAAACCAGAAGCACCGAACCCAGCAAATCATCAGCAGCGAAGACCGGTAATAGCACATAATCAAGTTGATGCATCGCTAGCAGCCAGGAAGCAACAGACAGAGAACAGCAACTGGAACACACAGATAAAAAAATAGGTTGCAGCTAATACAGAAGAAAAAGAACAATAAAGAACCAGGCAACAACCTAGCAATCAACAGAGCAACAACAGACAGCAAAGCAGCAACAATCCAGCAATCTGCTGAGCATCAGGTGGCAAAGCAGACCACAGAACAACAGCAATTGGCAAGCAGTAGAGCAATAGACAACAGACGCTGAGAAACAAAAGGCCAGCAGCCCACCAAGAACAAGCAGCTAACAAAACAAACATAAGACAAAACCAGCCATCACCATACCAAGCACCTACAAATATTAGATGTGTCAGCTCAAAGGTGAATGAAAAAGGATGGTAAAAATGAATTCAAACCACCACCAACAAACAGATTAAAAGGAAGGCATGAACTTTGTAAGAGGACTTTCTTATTTCTACTCTTTTTTTTTCCCTGTCATAGTAGAGAACAAAGAACCTACCTCAATTGCAATAGTAATTGGACTAAGATTATCTACCTTTACATTCCCTAGCCTCGATGCGATAGCTGTAACAAATTAGTATGGATGTTAAAACAAGATACATCCCCCTCTAATTCCACTCTGCCAAACTGGAGTTGTTTTGCAATCAAAACACCATAACTTACTGCTATTGCTTCAGCAAGAATGACAGGAACATCACTTGCAGGAACTCTTTTCACACTAGCAGCCAGCACCCTACCAACCCCATCACGAATTACAACTCCAAGGCCTACACCAATTCCAGCCAACAAGGCAGCATCGAAGTTCACCTTCAAAGAACCATCAACGGGCAGCTCCCATTTGCTACGACAATGTTGACCACTTGATCTTACACCCCATTTACAGCTTCACAGAACCATCAACAGTAGAATTAACATTCATACACCAGCATTTTCAAACAAATCAAGCTGTTTTAATCAAACATTTACAACTTATCATATACTTGTAATCAAATAAAGATTTAGAACAATCACAACAAATATTTCAATATCAATCAAATCTTGATAAAAATTCACAAACCCATCACCAAAAATCCTAACAAAAACAAACCCATATAACAAAATCATCCAAATCACCTTAAAATTCAACAATGCATATGGATTAAATTGCAAGAAATAACTTGGGTAAAATATACATACTTCATGATGGGAAGATTCCAGAAAAAAAAAAACAACAACAACCCAGAAAAAAGAAAAGAAAATCCAACCAAATTGTGAATATAATGCAAACTGAGGAACTTCAAACGACAAAAAAATCTCAGAAGAAATTGAAGAAAAAAGTACCTTAAGTAAAGGTTGAATTAACTCCTGGCAGTGCGTCATAGAAACCATAGACTCGTAGCAGGAAATCACGACCCACGAAACCACCACCGCAACCACGAAACCACCACCGCACCCACGATACCACCACCACACCAAAGAACCCACCACCACTAGCACCGACCACTGTCACCATAATCACAAAAAATAATAAAAATCAGAAATCCTATCATCTCACATTCTCACCATTAAATTCAATCAAAATTTCAATTGTTCATCATTAATAATAAAAAAAAAAATCATAAAACCTAGATTTCAAATCGAAGAGAACATACCTCGAATTTGTGATTTTTGAGTCGATAATTGATTCAAGTTTGTTGTTGTTGTTGTTGTTGTATTTGGTTCAAATTGACGGCGGCGGCGATGGTGGTTGTGCTTGGTTCTAGTGACGCCAATTTCGGACTGAGAAGGAGAAGGAGAGCGACGTTGCTTGCGGCATAGTTATGGAGAAGGAGATCGAAGGAGAGAGAAAAGGAAAGGGAAAGCTGCGGTTATGGAGAAGGAGATTGAAGGAGAGAGAGGGAGTTTGAGGAAAGAGCCGAGCCTCCATTGTTGAACCGAAGGAGAGAGAGGCAGATGAGAGAGGAGGAGAGATCGAGGAAAGAGAAAGAAAGAAGATTAAAAAGACCGGTTTTTTTTTTTTACAATAGAATTCGCACCGGTTCGAACTGAACCGATGTGATTAACTCATTTTTCGCACCGGTTTGGTTAGAACCGGTGCGAAAACTCTTTCCCTCAATCCCGCCTATTTTTTTTGGCACCGATTTTTAAAAACCGGTGCGAAAAGGGCGGTGCTGATTTCTGTTTTTCTACTAGTGACGACATATTAACAAGTATCAATATGCATGTAGTTCATGACTCCATTTTTCAAAATAACGAAGTAAATCTTATTTTTATTGTCATTCACTATATTTTTTATTTTTTGTTTAAAAGGGAGAACATGAATTTTGACATATTTTAGTGGTAAGCACATAGTATTAGGGTTTGTTCTGTTCAGCTTATTTTCACTTATTATTTCAGTTTTAATAAGTTCCTATAAGTTTAGATAATTTTAGGAAAAAAATGTTGATAAGGGTTACTCAAGTTCAAATTACAACTAAAATAAGTTTTAATAAGTTCTAATAAATTTAGATAAGTTCATGTAAGTTCAGATAAGATAAGATAAGTTTAGATAAGTGAAAAATAGAGTGAATCGTACAAATTCTTAAATGGACCTGGCATAGTTCACGCAATTTATTGTGAACCAGTAACATTAGAAACACTACAGTTGTTTTATTAATAAAATAAAAAGGTTAATATATTAAAATAAAGAATATTATATTTAAATAAAAGTCATTTTTGTTATGAAAATATAATAAGTGGGTGACTGTTATCCCACGTACTATCTAGAATATTCTATAGTTGGGTACTTGATCTTATCCGATGATGGAACCCTAGATAATATACATGTATATATATCTCGTACTAGATGGAATAATATATACAACGTAACAAAATTTCCCTCATATATCTCTATATTTCTTTTCCATATTTAACACGTTATCAGCACCAAGCAGAGTAAGCAAACGTACGAATTGAAGGAATTAGAGCATATTAATATTAGCAATTTTATAATTCCTCTAGAAAAGAATATGAATCCTTTTGGAGCTCAATCATCGATTTATGTCTAGTTGATAGTGCTACCACTCACACCATACTTAAGAATAAGCTAGAAATATTTTTCGCAATTGATGATGAAAGAAATAAGTGTGAGTACTATATTAGGCAGTACAAAGATTATAGAAGGCTCCGGAAGAGAAAATGTTTTATTGCAAAGGGGGAACAAAATTGGAAATTATTGATGCATTATACTCTCCTAAGTCTCAAAGAAATTTACTAAGTTTTAAAGATATTCGACAAAACAGATACCATATTGAGACAATTAGTGAAGGAAATTATGAATTCCTTCAAATCAGGAGTATAATTTAAGGCAATAAACTTATTATGGAGAAATTACCTACATTCTTGACTGGTTTGTACTATATACAAAAATCAATATAATTGAATCACATGCTATAGTAAACCAGAAGTTTACAGATGACTTCAAAGTTTGGCATGACCGGTTAAGCCATCCCAGTTCAATAATGATGCGTAAAATAATTGAAAATTCATGTGGACACTCATTGAAGAGCCAGCAAATTCTTCATAATATAATAATTTTTCATGTGCTGCTTGCTCAATAGGCAAGTTAATACTCATGCCATCACCAACCAAAATAAATTATGAATCAATTACTTTTCTGGAACGTATACAAGGGGATATTTGTGGACCAATTCGTCCCCCATGTGGACCATTTAGATATTTCATGGTTTTAATAGATGCATCAACTAGATGGTCACACGTATCATTGTTATCAACTCGCGACCTAGCGTTTGCGAGACTACTTGCTCAGTTGATCAGATTACGAGCACATTTTCCAGACTTTCCTATTAAGACTATTCGTCTTGATTACACTGGTGAATTCACATCCCAGGCCTTCAATGAATATTGCATGTCAATTGGGATTAGTGTTAAACATCCTTTAGCACATGTTCACACACAAAATGGTCTTGCGGAATTGTTAATTAAACGTTTGCAGTTGATTGCTAGACCATTACTCGTGAAATCCAAGCTCCCAATTTCTGCTTGGGGGCATGCTATATTACATGCAGCAGCACTAATTCGCATTAGGCCAACAAGTCATCATGAGTTTTCCCCATCATAATTGATTTTTGGTCAGGAACCAAATGTATCCCATTTGAGAATATTTGGATGTGCAGTATATGTTCCAATTGCTCCACCAAAACACACTAAAATGGGCCCTCAAAGGAGACTAGGGATATATGTTGGATATGAATCTCCATCGATAATTAAGCATTTAGAGCCAACTACAGGAGATTTATTTACGGCTCATTTTGCAAACTGTCATTTTGATGAATCAGTGTCTCCAACATTAGGGGGAGAAAACAAATAGCTGGAAAAGGAAATTAGTTGGAATGAATTATCATTATCTTACCTAGATCCTCATACTAAACAATGTGAATTGGAAGTCCATAAGATAATTCATTTACAAAGCTTAGCAAATCAATTTCCAGACTCATTTACTGACCTCAAGAAAGTGACAAAGTCACATATACCAGCTGAAAATGCTCCTATTAAAATTGATGTCCTAGAAGGACAAGCCCAAGTTGCAAATGATTCTAAAGCACGCCTGAAGCGTGTAGACCCATTGGTACCAAAGATAAAATCCTCGAAAAAGAAAGGGAGCAATAATTGACAATGGCCAGACCAAGGAACCTATTAATATTAAAGGATCTCTAGAAGTGACCTTAGACATGATGGAAACAGATATTCAGGTACCTGACAATGAAGAAATTTCAACAAATTTTATCATGTCTGGAATTACATGGAACCGAAACCAAATCGACGTCGATGATGTTTTTGCATGCAATGTGGCATTAGATGTCATGAATGATGATGAGGATCATGAGCCAAAATCCAATGATGAATGCAGACAAAGAAGCGATTGGCCAAAATGGAAAGAAGCAATTGAAACTGAATTGAAATCTCTCGAAAAAAGTGAAGTATTCGGACCTGTAGTCCGTACACCTGAAGGTGTGATACCAGTGGGATATAAATGGGTCTTTGTGCAAAAGAGAAATGAAATGGTGATATTGTAAGATATAAGGCCCGATTAGTTGCACAAGGATTCTCACAAAGACCCGGTATTGATTATGAGGAGACATACTCTCCTGTGATGGATGCAACTACTTTTAGATTTCTAATCAGTCTGGCAATAAGAGAAGGACTTGACTTACGCTTGATGGATGTAGTCACAGCTTACTTATATGGCCCACTGGATAATGACATTTACATGAAACTCCCAGAAGCAGCAAATTCAAGTTTTCGAGAACAATACTCAATCAAATTGAATAGATCTCTATATGGATTGAAACAATCAGGGCGCATGTGGTATAATTGTCTCAGTGAGTATTTGTTGAGATAAGGGTATAAGAATGATCCTATATGCCCATCTATTTTTATAAAATGATTTGTATCAGGATATGTCATAATTGCAGTATATGTTGATGATTTTAATATTATTGGAACTCCTGAAAAGATTTCAATAATAGTAGAGTGCTTAAAGAAAGAATTTGGAATGAAAGATCTTGGAAAAACTAAGTTTTGCTTAAGGTTACAAATTGAACACCTAAAAAAATGGAATACTTGTGCACCATTCAACATACATAGAAAAAGTTTTTAAAAGATTTTCTATGGATACAACATATCCATTGAGCAGCCCTATGGTTGTTAGAGCACTTGATGTAAAAAAAGATCCCTTTCGACCTCGGGAGAATGACGAAGAAATTCTTGGTCCTGAAGTACCATATTTAAGTGCAATAGGGGCATTAATGTATCTTGCTAGTCATACAAGACCTGAAATATCATTTTCATTAAATTTGTTAGCAAGATTTAGCTCATGCCCTACCCGAAGGCATTGGAATGGGGTTAAGCATGTACTTCGTTACCTTCAAGGTTCGAAAGATATGAGTTTGTTTTTCTCTAACTTATCCAAAGAAGGTTTGATTGGTTTTGCAGATGCAAGGTACATGTCTGATCCTCATAATGCTAGATCACAAACCGGATATGTGTTTATGTGTGGAGGTACTTCTATTTCTAGGCGTTCTATGAAACAAACAATTGCAGCTACTTCTTCTAACCATGCAGAAATTTTGGCAATCCATGAGGCTAATCGTGAATGTGTATGGTTAAGGTCTGTAATTCAACATATACAGACACATTGTGCCATAAACTCCGAGAAAGAAGTTCCAAAAATTTTATATGAGGATAATGCAGCATGCATCATCCAGCTTAAGGAAGGGTATATCGAAGGTGATAGAACAAAACACATTTTACCAAAATTCTTCTACACATGATCTCTAGAAGAATGGCGATATAAAAGTCCTTAAAATTTGCTCGAGTTGGTAGATTTGTTTACTAAGGCGCTCCCAACAGCCACATTCAAAAAGTTAGCTTACGACATTGGATTGCGTCGTCTTAATGATCTCAAGTGATATAGTCATGAGGGGGAGTTAATGCGCGAGCTGCACTCTTTTTTTCGTAACCATGGTTTTCCCACTGGGTTTTGCTGGTAAGGTTTTTAACGAGACAATATCTTATGCGCATTATAATGTATTCTTTTTGTACGAGTATTCTAGTAAATTTTAGTCATCTAAGGGAGAGTGTTATGAAAAGATAATAAGTGGATGACTATTATCCCATGTATTATGTAGAATATTCTAGAGTTGAGTACTTGATCTTATCCGATGATGAAATCGTAGATAATATACATGTATAAATATTCCGTACTAGATAGAATAATATACACAACGTAACAAAATTTCCCTCATATCTCTCTATATTTCTCTTCCATATTTAATAATTTTGGTATTATAAAGATATAAGAGGTTAATTTTATTTTTTAATGAAATTTTTTATATACTAGTCAATATGAATAATAAAGGTTATTATATTATAATTAGGGTTATATGTTCAACATAATGTCGTACTTCAGGTTCACAATAATATTAAGAGTCATCACACAGGTTTTAATAAAAGTTACTATGCTAAAAATAAGTTTATTATGTTAAAATTAGGGTATTTATGTTCAATATAACATCAGTTGTGTGCATATAAACCTCATTGTGGACCAGATCCATGCAAACTTTTTTCGGTGAATAGAACACATCCTTAGTTTGTTAGTATTTTTTTTTTTTTTTTTTATTGAAAGATAGGTTGTTAGAATTTGGAATTACATGTTCAAATCTTGTACAAACCACATTTACAATTTTTTTAATGTAAGTTGGTAATTTTTTTTGAGGAGGCCCCTATTTATCGAGTGACATGTTCATAAATAAAGACATTGACATGTGAAAGCTTAATAAAATATTATTATCTTGTAAAAAGTAGAGGAATCTGTCAGATTCTCTCCATTACCTCAC